TTTTTTTCTTGTACTTTAATAAAAAATACACTTTCTGAGTATTTCCATTTTCCTGCTCCGTCTTCCCTTCGCTCCACGACTTTCTTTACTTTGCAGTAAACACACAGAAAAACATTATTTTCACGTTTAGAGGTTTATTTGTCTCGTCTTTTCTCAGACCGGTGCAAAAGAAAAACATCCAAAACACACGTCTAGAGGTTCGTTTTATTACAGTTTGCGTCTGTAGATTTAATAAATACATTTAAAATCTTCACTTCTTTTGCAAACGTTCCAGTTGTATTCCTTTTTATTCTGAAGGTTTATGATGGTCGACATGCGTTGTGTTTGATTTAAATTTCTGTGTTTGTGGATTTAAAACGGAACCTTAATTCTGTTTGTTGTCGTTCGTTCAAAGTTGTCGTAACTAAAAATGCAAAACTGTTAATGTTGTTATTAACACATGTATGTATACGGTACTTTCTATTTATGTGTTTTATTTCCTTTTTATAACGTAAAGATGAAGTTTTGAAGCTTCACTGTCAGGACTAAAAACACGGCATCGTTGGTGAGTGCATTAACTTCATATTTTCTGCTATTTGAACTCATCTTTTTGCACTTAAAACTAAACTCAACTCAACCTGAAAACTTCTGGGTTTCAGTCTTAACACAGTTAATTAGAAGAAGCTTTTATTGTGAAGGAAAAGAAAAGTTTCATGTTTGACGTTTTAACAAATTCTCGAGTTGATTCTCTATCAAATGAAGCTGCATTAAGCTGCTTGTTGGAGAGAAATCCGATCATTTAAGTGGCTCAAAGTGAAACCAATAATATTACCTGTTAGCCGGTGCAGAATACTGAAATTGAATTGAACTGGCAGGAAAGTTATATGAATATTATACATGATATTAATATAAATAATGTTATGACAGAAAACTAGAAGAGAAAAGTCAGAAGTAACACAAGAGGCTTCAATGAGGGTTTGGATGGTTTCAGTAAACAGCGAAGATCAGCCTGATCCATCTGGGCTCAGCGTGTTGTTGTCAATAAACCACAAGGCGCACACACACACACACACACACACACACACACACACACACACACACACACACACACACACTGGAAGCAGGTGTCTGTGAGTCTCATGGGCTTTGGGGCTTTTGGGTGTAGAAGAAGAAGAAGAAGAAGATGGTGAAATTCCCAATGTGAGAGTCTGCGTCTCGCCTTGGCCTCTTTCCACTGAACACACACACACACACACACACACACACACAGAAACCACACATTTGCTACAAGCGCTGAAAGAAAATTTCAGTCGTGTGTTTTGCCGTCATCGTCTCTGTTCTGTCTGCTATGAATACCGTATATATAGATGTGTGTGTGTGTGTGTGTGTGTGTGTGTGTGTGTGTGTGAGAGTGTGTGTTTAACAAATCTATGAACAAACTGCAAACTAATTCTGTGACAAACATTCACCTGTTGTAATGATTCCATCGTGGAAAACTCCTCGGCGTCACTGGAGACTAGAGCCTGACCGATAAACAGGATGTTTACATAGTTTACATGTTGATGGAAGTTTTAGTTCATGACTCATTTCTGTGCAGATTAAGATGATCTGTGCTGATCTTAGGCGTAGATATTGTACGTTCTCCTGATATCATAGATCATTGATTCAGGGCTCCTTCTGTTCTTTCTCTGTTCACAGTTTTTTTTATCAGATAATTGGAGTAATTTCGGTGATTATTTTAATGCATCAGATAAACTAAGCGGACTGTATTCAGTGAGGGGTGGCTCGGTGGTTAGCACTGTTGCCTCATGGCTAGAAAGTCGCCAGTTCGTGTCCCAGTGAGGATCTTTCTGTGTGGAGTCTCCATGTTCTCCCCGTGCAGTGTGGGTTCTCTCCGGGTTCTCCGGCTTCCTCCCACACAGTCCAGAAACATGCTGAGGTTAATTGGTGGTTCTAAATTGTCCGTAGGTGTGAATGTGAGTGTGCTTGGTTGTCTGTCTCTAAGTGTAGCCCTGTGATAGACTGGTTACCTGTCCAGGTGAACCTGCCTTCACCCTGAGTCAGCTGGGATAGACTCCAGCCCCCCATGACCCAAGTGAGGATTAAGGTGTAGAGATGATGGATGGATTCACTGAGCAGGCTGTGTGCTCTGTGGTTCTGTTCAGGTTTCATTGTGTCTGTGGTGGACCGGGCCGCTGGGCTGCAGGTGGCTGAGCTTGGGGGGAGGAGGTGAAGATTGGGGGAGGAGGTGAAGCTCTGGGAGGAGGTGCTGTAACTTTAGCTCCCGGTCTGAGCCGAGGCCTCACAGGAAGAGCTTCCTCCAGAGACTCCCGGCTGAAGCTCCGTTCCACTCTGTCGACTCTCCGCTCCAACGCCGTCGTCTCCAGAACACCAGAGTCGTGCACGAGAGCGGGCCTCCACGTGCACGGACGAGGAGGCAGCGGTTGGAACATTTGCTTATTTCCTTCACTGCTGATAAACTGAGACGGAGGGAAAGTTTTACGAGCCGCGACTTTATGACAACAAACCTTTGTGTCGTCGAGATTAAGATGTGTGTGTGTGTGTGTGTGTGTGTGTGTGTGTGTGTGTGTGTGTGTGGGCGTATTTGAATACTACAGTCCTGTCAGATATTTGAATACCAGCGATAGGTGACACTTGCTCGAGCAAACAGTTGATTCTCTCTAAACGGAGGAATTACTGATTATTGACTCTGCTGCTCAAACACAGGAAACGTCGCTTCATGTCTCAGTGTTTAAACCTCTGAAACCTGAACTCTGGTCTGTAGCCGCGTCAGTCCGGCTGTGTTTGCTTTTAAAACTAATTAACGTGTCAATGCTGGATCATTCCCGCATTATTGTGAGTTATTACTGAGTTTTAATTTACTTAACCTGCACATGTGATGGTTGTAAAGAGAGAAAATTATTAAAACTAACAGTGTTTATTCTGTTATTTATCACCACTGATCTATACATTCATGTTAGTGTTCATCCGCTCGGTTAAAGCACTTCACAGCTTCTTCAGCTTTTCTACTCACAAGCTGAACTGCATTTCATTGTTTACTATCTGTGCAAAGACAATAAAGCTGAATCTAGTCTAAAAATACTGCATTAAAATCACTTTCACCTGAATCTGTAAAAAACTAGAAGTCCTGAGATCATCTGTGCATCGTGACATAACGAGTGGATCAGCTGAGTGACGGTTCACAAGAGAGGAGACGAGTGTGGAGGCGAACTAGAAAGGTGAAGGGGTAAAGATCTGCCGTACGAGGAGAGAGAACGACCACAGAGACACACAACTGTCCCAAAGACAGAACAATTAAAAATGAGACAGAAACTGGGGGAAAAAAGACACAAGAAAAATGGAAAATTTGAAAAACGAGACACAAAACAATGAAAGGAGGAAAAAAAACTGTCCCAAAGAGACAAAACTGAGACACAAAATGATCACAAAGAGACAAAACTGTCCTAAAGACACAAAAATGAGACACAAAACATGAGGAGCAAGACACTAAATGACAGAAAGGAGAGAAAAAAATGACAAAGACAAAACAAAACAAACACAAAGAGGCACAAGAGACACAAAATGAGAAAAATGAGAAAAGAAAAAAACGGCAAAACTGTCCCAAATAGACACAAAACAACAAATAAGAAACACAAAACAAGAAAAATGAGTCTAAAATGAAAAAAAAGAGCCAACAGGAAGGAAAAACAAGCCCATAGGGAGAAAATATTAGTCCACCGTGGAAAAAATGAGACAGAAATTAGGGGTGAAAAAAGACAATTTGAGAAAAAATTCTGAAAAACAAAACAGAAAATGACAGAAAGGAGAGAAAAAAAAGATAAAGACAAGACAAAACGTCCACAGAGAGACAAACAGACACAGACGGGACACAAAATGAGAAAAATGAGACAATAAAAAGAAAAAAAACGGTCACAAATAGACACAAAACAACAAACAGGAAACACAAAACAAGAAAAACGAGTCTGAAATGACAAAAAGATCCAATTATGAGACAAAACTGTCCCAACGACAGAAAAATAAAATAAAAATGAGACAGAAATTGGGGGGAAAAAAGACACAAAAAAAAATTTGACAAAAATGAGAAAAACAAGACAGAAAATAAGAATAATGAGACACACAGTATGACAAAGAAGAAAAGGGACAAAACTAAATGACAGAAAGGAAATAAAAAACAAAGACGAGACAAAACTGTCCTAAAGACACAAAACATGAAAAACCAGACAGAGAAAAGAGAAAAAAAAAAGACAAAGACGAGACAAAACGTCCACAAATAGACACAAAACAACAAATAGGAAACACAAGACAAGAAAAACGAGTCTGAAATGGAAAAAATAAGCCCACAGGGAGAAACAATTAGTCCACAGTGGAACAAATGAGACACAAATTGAGGGAAAAAAGACAATTTGACAAAAATTAGAAAAATGAGACACAAAACAATGAAAGGAGGAAAAAAAATTGTCCCAAAGAGACAAAACTGTCCTAAAGACACAAAAAGGAACAAAAAAAGACAGAAAATGACAGAAAGGAGCGAAAAAGGCCCACAAAGAGATAAAAGAGACACACTATGAGAAAAATGCGACAATAAAAAAGAAAAAAACTGTCACAAATAGACACAAAACAACAAACAGGAAACACAAAACACGAAAAACGAGTCTGAAATGGAAAAAATAAGCCACAAAACAGTGAAAGGAGAAAAAAAAACGTCCCAAAGAGACAAAACGGTCCTAAAGACACATAAAGGAACAAAAATAAGACACAAAATGACAGAAAGGAGAGAAGAAAATGACAAAGACGAGACAAAAGATAAAAAAAAAAAGAGATTAAAAAAACTGTCACAAATAGACACAAAACAAAAAATAGGAAACACAAAGCAAGAAAAACGAGTCTAAAATGAAAAGACAAAGAACCAACAGGGATGAAGATGAGTGGGAGTCAGAGACAGGAGCCACAATGTGGACGATGAAGACTCTAACGTGGAATAAAAGGTGAGAAACAGCCGGTTGTAATAAAAACAGCACACTTTATTTACTAGGCAGTTTAGAAAAGTATAAAAAACATGAAAACTTGGCATTAAAAAAATGCTTTTATGAAAACAATCTGCTCAGAAGCTGGTATCAAAACAAAGGCGTCAAACACGGAGCGCCGATCGAGTTACAAAATTTAAAAAAAACATAGAAAAAGGTTCCAGCGTTGGGCGTTTGGCTGCAGCGCCATATAAACATGAGTGTTTTCTCTTTGTGTCTGTAGGAGGGTACAAATCAAGTGCAGCTCGGTCCGACTCACTGGGTGCAGCTCAGCTTTAGCATCGTTTTGTTCTGATCCCGGCGCAGGAAGAAACCGGGACGTTGAAATGAAAACCCAATCGTGTTTGTCTCGTGAAATCAAAGGTGGGTGGCGATCCGGTAATACTAACGAAACACTTGAAATTGTCGGCAGACCCGTGAAAAGCGAGCAGGAAGTGAAATACAGAGGTCAGTTTGAAATCCTTGCTGTGCCGCCGGATGTGTGGTAATGCTAGAAGGGCTTAAATACTTTAAACAACACTGCTCCGTCGGCCAATTGAAAACAACAACAACAACAAACTCATCATCATCATGAAAAAAAAAAACAATAAATTAATCAACTTGTTCTTTATATTAATGTCAAAATTTGTAATTAATAATACAGCCCAACGCAAACACAGTCACCGTAGTTCCCCGTTTATAATACAACAGTCAGATGAATACACGGAGCAGGAGGACGCTCGTAAAACCCAAAGCAAGTAAAAAAGGTTTAAAAATCAGAGTCTTTGGTTGGCTGGAATCCCAACGAGTGTGAGTGTAGGAACACCGATCGGCGCGAGGCCTCTCCCAACTGTTGCACCACAACAAGTAAGAACCGGGTCGGCCCGGCGAGGCCCCGCCTACATGACCAGCGTCCTCGTCGGGTAAGTGTTGATGTACTTCTGCTCCGCCGCCAGCATGTGCTCGTCCGTCTGGCCGCAGGTCGCCTGTTCCCAGGAGCTCAGCGGCTGCAGGAGACACACAATGCCGTCAGTGTTTACAGCTTTTTAAATAAAGTTGGATTGAAGAACGGCTGCAGCGGAGCCCGAACTCACCTGTGGAGGGCTGCTGACGCCCCTGTGAGGGAGGTGGTACGATTTGTGTCCGTCGTCGCTCAGTAACGAGCTCGTTAGCAGGTCCTGCGGGAAAACACAGTGTCAATAAAGTTTAGTTCAAATGAGCTGAGACAGATTAAAGAGATTAAAAACCGAGTTAATAAACAACAAGTTCAACATGAAACTACAAAAACATCAGTCAAGTTAAAGCTGATTAAACATATAAAACTAATTTAGAAGCTAACGCACAACAAAGCAGCTAAATGTGTGGTTCAGATAATTAAAGGTAATTAAAGGTAACAGAAGGGAGGAGTCGACTCATGAGCACAAATATTCATCCAATGTTCAGCATCTTCTATTATTATGATTATTTTTTAAACAAATTCCCCCAAAAATATTAGTTCACATGCTGTTGATTATTTTCTGGCTCAACTCTAAAATTTAAACTTTTTTGAATGAAGTCTGGTTTGATTCATTCACCGTCGATTGACCTTCTGACAGTCTTCTGGATGAAACGATCAGCGTTTCTGACCGATAAACGTCGTAGTCGCTGTGAGTAAATCTAACGTGAAGCTGCTGGAGGCGACCAAACCGGAGCCAAAAGTCACGACTCATCCAGAAACATTCTCTGTCTGCGTTAAAATTAGACTTTTTTTGAATGGAGTTTGGTTTGAGGGAGGTTCGTTCTCTTTTAGTCAAACACGTAAAACAGGAATAAAGTTTCATGTCACAGTTTGTTTTTTCCTGAAGTTACTTGTCTCCTTGATTACTAATAATCAATATCAGCCCTGAAACAGAACTAAATATTACTTACATTAGCAATAAAAATAACTCAGAAGATAAAATGATGATATAAAATGCATTTATCTTGCAACAGTTCAACTATTAAATTAATCAATTTGAGCAATTTTTCAATAAAATCAGTCCAAATTCTCTGATTTCAGCTTCTTCAGTGTATATTTCCTGGTTTCTTTCCTCTGTGACAGTAACCTGAACTTCTTTGGACCAAACAGGACACTTGGGGAAACTCTGATCCACAGTTTTTACCATTTTCTGACATTTTAGACCAAACAGCCAATCGGTTCGACCAGAACATCATCAGTACTTTGCAGCTCTACAAGAACCTTCATCAAACCAAACTCCATTTAAAAAAGTTCCAATTTAAACTTCTGAATTAAACCTGATTTTTAGCTCTGATTTGGTTGCCTCCAACTAAATTCTGCCGATTGCAGCACCGTAAGTTCAGCTCTAAACAAGATATCTGAGGAAACTCTGATCCACATCTTCTGACACTTGGAGATAAAACAACCAATCGATTCATCCAGAAACTCAACGTGCAGCAGAGGGAAGGACGTCCTCAGTATAAAGCACCGAGCCGAGCTGGAGATAAAGGTCTGAGGACACCTGTGGAGAACCACGGAGGTCAAAGGGGAACTCACAGGGACTTCCTGGGCCGGACCGTTGGGCGAGAACAGCTGAGTGTGCAGATCCTGACCCTCCCACTGCATACAGGGACTCCGCTCACAGGGAGACTCCACCTGCAGCACAGCAGCACGTCAGCATACAGTCCTCACAAATCACACACAATAGTCATCATCCAGCGTACGACAATACATCTGAAAATACTATTAAAATGTGGAAAATCAGAAGATTGGTAAGAAGAAAAAGCAAAGAAAAAAATATTAATATAATGTCAGAAATTCTGAATTAAAATATTTAAAAATAAGTATTATTAAAATGTGGAAAATTAGAAGATTAGTAAGGAGAAAAAAATGTAATAAAATGTCCCAAAAATATTTAAAAATAAGTATTAATAAAATGTGGAAAATTAGAGCACTTAAATATTTATATTGAAAGATTTTTCAAATATGACTAAAATATTTTAAAATAAGAATTATTAAAATTTCCCCCCAAAATAGTCATGTTTAAATCTTCCAAAATGTTATTTAAATGTTTAATATGTTAAATTGCCTGAAAATATTATTAAAATATTTGAATTAGTCAGAAATTATTATTAATTATTAATTAGTCAGAAATTAATAATAATTAGTTAATTATTATATTATTATTAATTAATTAATAATCAGAAATTACTGAAGAAAATATTTTTAAAAACACTGAGAAATTGTAAATTATTATTCTGGATGTAGACATGATGAAAATATTAATAAAATGTTTAAAAATATTATAAAAATCTGAAATTATTTTAAAATAATGTCAGGAAAATATTACGACTGAAAATATCAATAAAATATCAGAAGAGTTTTAATATTATTGTTGCTAAAAATCTGATCATATCTAAAAACATTATTAAAATGTCAGCGTATATTATTAAAACGACTCACATTAAAATTAAAATTTCAAAAAATATGAACAGAAAATATGCACATGAACAACAACAACCTCCTTTTCCTTCATGTGTTTGCGGACGTACCTCCTGCTTGATCTTCTTCAGAGGCGGCTGCTCGATGGAACATTCCATCGGCTCCTGTTTGATGGACTCTACCATCTGCTGCTCCAGAGGGGTGTTCTGGAAACGACACAAACACAAAGTGAGTCCGCAGCACGCCGCAGCGTCAGCAGCCTCAAAGCCAGCAGGCTCCGCCCTCACCTGCAGCTTCGGAGGTCCGTACTTGGCCTCCTGCAGCGCCAGCGTGGACCTGAAGGGCGTCGGTGTCCGAGGAGTCGACTCCAGGATCGACCGGCGGATGTTCGGAGTCCTGAACCTGCGACGGAGGAAGAAGAAGAAGATGAATTCTGACACCTGATGACGTGAATGAGTCAGTAGATCTGCTGAGGCAATGGTTCTCACATTTCGTTCTCCTTCTGAGGCCTGGCCGAGTGCTCGACCAGCGGCTTGGAGTCGACCGGGGAGCTCATCGGGACGCTGTCGCTGTCCGAGTGCTCGGGGCTCATCGACTGGTTCAGGAACTGCAGAGAGAAACCGACCAATCAGTAATCAAAGACGGAGGCGGTTTGAGTGTCACGTGGAGCAGGATGGAGATGACGACAGGACGGACGTGTGGTCATGGGGTCGGACGGCGGGCTGTGATTGGACGATCAGCTACTTTAACTACCTGTGAAGGTGAAAAGCTCAGATTTCTGGGAGTCAAGCGGATCAAAGTTCTGCAGCTCTGACCGACTCTGCGGTTCTGGGAAAAGGGCGGGAAAACACGGGTCAAGGCCGACCGCCGGGTGAAGCCTGAGTGTGAGTCGGACCACAGAAGTGAATCTGCAGACACTCACCGAATCGATGACGGACTCCATGAACTCTGGGATCGGGTTGGAGAACGTCGGGCTGCTGTGGTTGCTGCTGTTGTGGTTGCTGCTGTTGCCGTGGGCGCGCGTTGCCGAGGCGCTCTCCTCCGGGAGGCAGCTCTGGTCCAGCGGCAGCGACGGAGCGGCCGCCTGGTGGTGAGGTAGGGACAGAACCGGGCCGTCAGAACCCACTGCACTGTGGCCGGTCCAGCTCGGGAAGGGAATGTTCATCTGTGGGGAAACAATGAAAGCTGTCAGCAAATAATCCAGGTTTGTCTTAGTTAGCCCGACTTACTGTCGGGTTACTGTGGTTTCATAAACAAATTAAACATGATT